TGCTTCCTGAGTCGTTGAAAGCAAAGGCTTTTTCTGCCGGTTTTTGACCGTTTCAGTTCACCTTTTCACCATGTTCCCACTATATCACCTGCTACTATCTCAGAGGAAGTATCAGATTATCGGTTTTCATGCCCTTAAATGAGGCGGAGGTGGTGTAGTGACAAATGGCGGCTTGGTCCCGGGTTCGAATCCTGGGTCGACTCCCGTCTAGGCCAACCAGGCCTTCTTTCTTCCGGAGACGGTAAACTGGTACCAGATTTGTCTGGGAGGATAAGAACACTGACTTGTACATCGGCTGGCCCCCGCAAGTCATTGTATAGGCCACATCGCATTCAATAAGCCACTACGATTCTGAATGGAAGTAGAATGCGTGCCGCATCCCACAAAGGGATTGATCAACGGCGAAGACTTTATCCTTATCCTTTTATCCCTTAAATACAAAGTGTACACTTACCTCCGTGGATCTTGATCCTTGCCGTGTGGAACCGATGAACCGTAGATGATGATCCGATAAGGTACATCAATCGAGTAAATCCTTGCCGATGAGGAGGAACGTCTTGAAATGTCGGCCACATTTTTAAGGGTAAGTGTTAGTAGAACACGAAACAGATCAAAGGCAAGCTGTACTCTCACCTGCGTGGACCCTAGTTAGTTCCTGACATTTGTGAGGTGGATGGGTTTGCATCTGCAGAAGCGTTACACTTTCTCTGGTTGTGCAGGGAACGGGGCTGGAGGGTAGCGACCCAAGGCCGTCTCCATACTATACCCGCGCTGTTGCACGGACAGCCAGGCACCTAGCCATAGCTAGACGGACTACTTGCTTGCGCTCCCTCATTTCTGATGAATCTACCGCTGAGTATGCGTTTCGCCTCACTGGAGTACGCGTTTCGCCTCTGGACTGGTGCAAGCGTTTGTACCTTGAGGATAGCGCAGGCGAAGTATGAGGACGGCACTCGGGTACCCGTTCCTGTCCTTTTTAGAAAGCTCTAGTAACTTTCTGCTACAAGTTTATGCTAGGCCTCCGTAGTACTCCGAAGGTCTGCGCAGTTCGAGTTCGACTTGGAGGGGCATCAAATGGTACTCATAGAAGCCTGACGGTCCCTTTGTGAGGACCGGCAAAAATTCCTGGTGCGGCTAAAGTAGGCTCCACTATTCCCCAGCTTTACAAGAGACGAAGTTTACAGGTTTCACCAAGATGAGACCTGCTAGTTAACGTGAAGAAGTAAAGGAAACTAGCAGAGGTACAAAATGCCCCTCCAAGTCAGAACAGCGGCAAGAATCCTCATGAAAGCCGTCAGGTTATGGGAAGGCGGCTAGGGGAGGACCCTCACGCAACGGACCGCGAAGGTCCTCTCTGACTGAAACATCTCCCCTGATCGGAAAATCGAGCATGCGGTCTTTGGTTCCAGTTTGTGCGACCTTTTTCCGAATTAGCGCGTGGTACACCAGCTACAGTAGCCCATCCGTGAACCTATCAAAAATCTGCATACCAATGATATGCACACATTACGACGCTAGCTCTACGCATATACGTCCGATACCCCATACTGAGGCCACAAATTGACCTTTTCGACTTGCAAAAATGCAAAGTAATCCCAAAAATATTTATTATACTCTTATCTCGCGAATAACAATAGAGATAGACGCAATTACACTTCTGTTAAGGCATTACGAATGGATCACAATTCGACTTGAACAAATCACATTTGAAAAACAGGTCCTGGACCACGGGCTATCACTTCGGAAAACGATAAAACATCTTGAATACTGGGATTTCCAAATAAAACAAAGACGAATAAATCAATCACATATCTGACTACTTCAATAAATAGAATTCTAAGGGCTTCTTTTTTTGTTTACTAAAGCGGTACGCCAAAAATACTCTATCACATTTCGTTTGGCATCACACCACATAAAACAACCATGTTAAACAAGTGATGAAAGGAAAAGTAAAATAAAATACTACAAAACACTTTTACACTGTTATATAGATTTAGCTGTCTTCATAAAGGTCATTTCCTAAAAAGAGGCAGCTTTGGGCGGGTATTTTGCACCCAGTCTAACCCGGACCACAACAACTAGCTCACGCTCGTCGATAAAGCGCTAGGGAAATTCTATAGTCGTTATCGCTGCAGACGCTCTCTGGTGAGGGGAGGGGTGGGTTTTTAGCGGCACCAGCCCTTTTTTCACCAATTGCGTTTCAACAATTGGTGGACAACGGGCTGGCGCTGCCTGAAAAACCCCGGGTCTCCAACGAAACGACCGTATTTTTCAACTGTGCGCAGTGCCTCGTAATGGGAAATGAACTATACCTACAACAATGGCTACAAACTACGATAACAGCTGCAATCTATGTCATTCTCAACTGATAGTCACCATTTTGTGTCACGTAACGGACCCATGGCATCGCCTGATATCCACTTTTCTCAATGATTTTTTCAGAACCTTCGACACCGGTGTTCGATTGTCGAACTCAATTTAAACAGTATCGTATCTTGGAAGGTATGAGTTTCATTATCGGAAAGCAAAACCCAAGGCTCATGCTGTCTTAGTTTGCCAGCCACGCTTTCCTCTCCACATTTTCGATGGAGCGGGCTTCGTAGAAGTTTTAGGAGGTAAGAGACTTTACCAAAAGACAGGGACAGCGAAGGAAGCTCGCTGCCTTTGGCCCGAACATTCTAAAGAGAGGGCAGCATAGATGCCAACACAAAAAGATTCAAAAAAAAATGTGGGCTTTAATAAGCGAATCGCATTCGGCGCACTCCTAATGAATTCAGCGAGTGATAGTAAGGAAATCATAAAGCATAAATGTATGAGTACAAAAATTAAACAATATATAAGATTAGAACAGAAAATAAAAGCGATGAAACTTCTAAAATGGACGCACCTGAAGACCACTTGTAGTGTAGTAAGGTATTTCAAACTTCACTTGCATGGGAGGTTTTCCTTCTGCCTCCTCACTCATGATTGAAGGCAAGGAGAAATGTGCACGCATCAGATATTCACGTCCACCTGAAAGTGCAGTCGATTGGTAATGGCGGATTTTCCTTGTTCAAACACACTTGAAATCGAATAGTGGAAGGAAACAAGACCTAATCGACAGGAAAAAAAGTAGTTTCTCAATGTCATAGCGAAAAGATCGAACAAACTACAAAGCGAAAGTATGGAACTGAAGAGAGTTGGGCTCATATCATCACTGCTAGTTACATTATCCGAGAAGATAAAGATTAAGCGTGCAGTCATTCAGGTCAGCGTTTTGAGCGACCAGAAAGGTACAGCAGGGCACATCGTTGTTGGGGAATCCCCAACAGCGATGTGCCCTGGCTGCATTCTTCTGGTCGCCTCAGAACGCTTGACCTGAATGGTTATTTAGCCGGCCAGGAGAGTGGGGGGTCGTATTTGGCCTGAGAAAAGTTTATTTCGATACCCCCCCCGCTTCGAGCAGCAAAATTTTGCCGGAAAAGTGAGGAAGTCTTCCCGGAAATTTGCCGAAAAAAAGCGAAATCTGACAGTCGGTTAGAAGGATGAGGGGGAGCGGGTAAGAGGTGGTAATGTTCGGGCGGCTTTCTCCTGTTTCACACATGTGGCTATTTACCCCCTTTCTCCCACCCCCCCCCCTCTCACCCCCGCTCGACGGCTCGATTCGATGAGGAGGGACAGAGGGCCGAGGGGGGGGGGGGGGAGTCGTACGGACTCGACTAAAATCCCCAACCAATGATGTGCTGCAGGCGTGGATCTAGCGTCTTAATCTTTTTCCGAGAATGCTCAAACGCTCGATCGATACAACACTTTCCTAGTTGCTCAGAAGGCCTACGCTCGCAACGGTGACGCAAAGTATGAAGGCACTGTTACTGTAGAAATGGAAACCAACCTGGAAAACTGCGAATTGTCCACACAAATGCGTTAAGCTCTGGTACGTATTTGACAGAGCCGACGCTGGTTTTGAATTTTGGTGAATCTGCATCAGAAGGCACCGGGATGATAACCTCGACATGATTAGCAATCGATTGCCGCTTGAACTGCGATTTAGCCTGAACAATTAGCGATATTTTCATAAAATGGTACAGCCCCCGTTTTCATTAATCCAGGTATGATCTTTTGAAAGAACATTCTTCAACAAAGGTCTATGAATCTCTTTCGTGCAAATCATTTCCCTTTGGTTTCTATACGCATCACAAAAATCGCTGACAAAATGCAACGATACATGCCATACTAATTTCGTTTCAATGACGCAAAGCATGATCAAAGACATGCAGACATGAATTATTTTCAATAGAAAACTCTTGCAGATATGATAGTAACAATCACACCCCCCCCCCCCCCCCCCGAAAGGTTAGCATACATAATTACTACTACATCAACTGTTACTATACCTGATTACAGCAGATAGGAAACATCCACCTGTAACCGATGAAATGACAAGAAAAACCTGCGAAATACAAAACTGAAAGTTAGTCGCACCATACCTTAACCATGTACTCGACTCGAGAATGTGTGTGCTTTTCAACAACAGCCTCGACCCAAATGAGTGGCTTTACCTATAAAGAAAAACGTATCATTATAAGCATGGAAATATCAAAACCATTATCATGACGCACTTCTTTTGCTACTCAACAAAACTCTTCGTCGTTCTTTGTCGCTCTGCGTTTGCCCAAGACCGTGTTCATAGCCAGCGGCGAGCCAAAAGATTGTAGATTTGAAAAAAATACTGCGAAAAGAACCAGACATGAATCGATTTGAATTTTCGCTGGTTTTCCATTCCTAAAGCTCTCTGACTGCCCCAAAATGTCCAAACAAAACCATCGACCCCTCTAGACCTTTTTGCAAACATTCCATTCAATTTAACATCCGAATCTTCGGATTACTATTGCTTCAGATCGCAAACACAAAGAACACTCCCTGATTCTCCAATGACGCTGTGTATAAACAAGCGTTTCGAAATGACACACGAGCGCACTTAAAGACAAAATGTAGCAGGGGTTGGGATATAAAACACTTTTCTTCATTGAACTTTCCAGGCGCTATAAGTACACTTTATTAAATTCTGATCGGACATATCTACAACTTTATCAACAGCATATTGTATACTATCATGATGCTCCGCTACAGCCTTCTGGACGAGCGCCATCGAGAGATTCTGCCACGCGACCGTGACTCGGTGCCTGAGTTCAGCGAAAATAGTTCGCCACTATAGACCACCCTGCTAGTTCGCCACTATAGACCACCCTATTGAACTCCGCCCGAACCGGGTAATTGGTGGGGAGGGGGGGGTATGTCAGGTGAAACTTAGATATTCCACCTTCTTCAGGTACTCAACGCCCTTCCATTCCAAGTAGGCGAGAGTTTTTCCAACGCCCTTCGATTCCATGTGGTGGCACCCAATCCTGTAGCAGTACAAAGTTTCCAAGAAGGTACGGGCGACGACATGAAGGGAGGATATTCTCCTCGAGTTGCTCGATGTAACCGCCAGCGCTCACCTTCAGTCCGGGGTCCACGAAGAAAATATCGGTCTTTCCATTCCAGGTACGTCCGGTCCATACCATCAACCCGCGCCTTGGCGACTGCGGTGAAGATGATGTCCTAGACCGTAGCGACGTTGTCGGAGCTGCTCGATGTTGGAGGTCTTCCAGATCGAGAGTACTGGTCTCCAGGTAGCTATCCATGGGTGACTCCATACTAGAAGTTTCGCAGCTGTTTGGAGGTGACATGAATTCAAAGGTCTTCTCCAGTCAGGCTGCGACTGGAGATGACTTCATATTTTGGTGTACATGAAGGTGAGGCGAGAGCCAGCTCCTGCTTATCGAGGAACATCTTGGGTATCTTCCGCCCTGGTACTCGTATCCACGTCCTCTGTCTGGGCTGCGAAAACTTTGCTGATATGTGACTCGGTCGAAGTGTCTTTTTTTGCCCCCCCCCCCCCCCTGTACACTCACTTTCGTATATCCAGACCCTACTGTATCTGCAGCGTGCCACTTTCTCCCATAGAAAATACAAAGGAATGGGGCTGCAGGTTCGTGATACCCCGGTGTCGAGTCCATCCCGGCTTGCGCTGCAGCACGGCCAGCAAGGTGCCTAGCAATGACTAAATGAGCTACTGGTCTGCTCTGTCACACTTATCGTCGTATTTACTGCTGAGTGCGTGTTTCGCTGCGAAACCTTGGAATCGACACAAGTGCTGCACCGTGATTATTGCACGGAGTAAGGAGTACCGGGGTACCCCACCCTTACCGTACGGTAAGGAGTCGGCACCGAGGTCCCCTACCCTACTGCCGCGTTCCCATGCACTGGTAAGTGAACAGAGTGGGATGCTACTGCAGCTGCGGACTCTTTCTCGTCGTACATGGCAAGGACAGTCCTCGATGGTGAGTGTACCGTCTATCTTTAATCTAATAAATCTCATAAAGGACGAACGTGTTCGTCTAACACCTTTCGTGACTCCTGTCTCTCAAAAATTCCCAGTGCAACAAGTAATGCGCTAGGTCTGTAAATCAAGGTAGCACGGGTACTTTTAAAGCCCGAAGCCCTTCGGATAGCATATTGAAACAGCTTGATTGAAGAAAAGGCAGACTGGATCTTCTTCAAGTTTAGCGGCACGAAGTACCCCTATCTACATAAAAATGCGACAATTTCGGACAACAAAGCAGCAGGCATACCTGAGTTGTGAGACGATAACTCATCAGTTCGAACTCGCCATCTGGCGGAATGAATGAGATGGTTCGCTCAGCTTCAAAACGCGATAGCCGTACGCATTGGTGGAACTTGACATCCTCCAATTCGACTCCTTTACCATTTCGACTGCCTTGAAAAAGAGCTGCCTTGAGAATTAGTGGCAATTATGAGAGGAAAAGCTTTGATTTGAGAAGGGTACGCTCAACTCTTGGCCAAATTCAACAATATTACAAAAATAAAAACTTGACAGCCAAATCTGGCTGCGGAAAAAAAACGAGAACTATGGGATGATTGAAGTGTGGAAGGTGGATCAAGAATGAAAACCTACCTCTTGCACCAGCAGATGCTTGCTCAAAAATTACTTTATCGTTCAAGCCTAGCCGAAGCTCTGGCATTCCACTCAAAACCACTCGCATTCGAATAGAGCCAATAATCTCACTTCGTAGAACCGTTCCAGAAGCATTTGCCTGAATAAACCACTCTCAACGAATTCAAAAAAAACTACTTCCAGGGAATACTGCCAAAACTAGGTTTACCAGCATGTTAACGCTTTCGATGACGTCAAGAAAGACTTCATTTCTTCCGATATTTAATCCCATCCGATCTCCATGAAACTGCATTAGTGACTGCCATTGGAGGACGAGGTGCAATCTCTAATCGATGACCCTCTTGGGTAATGTACCTAATAACAGAGATATGAGATATGACTCAAAACTCAACGGTTGCTCTTTACTTACTCTTGAAGAATTCGGCTTTCCGTTGTCTGAGGATACCCAAAATCCATCATTTCATCAAAAAGTTCATAAATTACGACAAAATTGTCGCGCACAGACTCCTCTTCAAGATCTTTGAAGTACTCACAAAACACCTTAATGTCAAGAAATCTTATGGTAAGATAATCGTGAATGGAGCCTAAAAAAAGAAAAACGAAATTTATGGGAGTACCTCGACGCATTTGTAAAGAAATGAGAGTACAAGGGCAGCGTTCATGTTCTTCTTTGAGATGCTCACAACTGAAATAGAGAAAAATAGACGCAAAAACCTTCAGACAATGAAGTGTACTAACTGTTCGCGAACAAATTGCACTTGTGGGCGACACTATTGAATGGAAGGAATGAGGCTTATTTGAACAGGCGAAAATGAAAATGTGAAAATGAAGATGTTCTGGTGCTGAAGAATCCCATGACCCAATATAAAGCACAGGGCACATCATTGGTAGGGGATTTTAGTCGAGTCTCTACGACCCCCCCGCTTTTTGAGTGTTGGTACGACCCCCCCCCCTACGGCTCTCCCCTCTATCCCTCCTCATCGAATCGAGCCGTCGAGCGGGGGAGGGGGGGCATATAGTACGCATGAAACAGGAAAATCACCAAAAGTCAACCACCACTCCTACAACGCCAAAACGTAAATACGACCCCCCCCCCCTTACAACGTCCGTGAAGCGAGAAAAATCAACTATCAAAATAAATTTCCCAGCCCAAATACGACCCCCTCTCCTGGCGGCCAAATACGACCCCCCCCCTCCTACTGGGGATTCCCCAACAGTGGTGTGCCCTGATAAAGAAACCTAAGAATTCTTGTGTCCTTTATACTATTTTTGGGCTTCTACACTGTTTTTTCTTAATTGAGAAAACTCTTGGAGCCCTCCGTGTTGTTCTTGAGGCGCAACTGCAGCCCAAGTATTGTCACAGAATCGGTTTAAAGAGGGACTACGGGGATGGGGGGGGGGCAGAAGAGGGCGGTTGTAGGCCAACAATAGTAGAAAATATGAAATTTATAAAACACTGTTAGTGTTACACTCAGAAAATACTCACGTAGAGGTTCATGGGTTTGATGAAAGGTGTAGCTTATTTCGCCGGATTGAATTACAGGTGAATGGAAACCTTCGTCTTCTTTCTCGACGAGCAATGGCATAAATCTTTCAATACATGACATTTCCACATCTCCACGGTAATTACGTGAAACGATTACCTGAAATGAAGTGGAAGAAAATCTTATTTAGTAACATTATTTCAGCAGAAAATGAAAGAGCAGTTAGTTCTATACAACGATGGGCTCCTCTTTTATGCGCTGTAAATACTCTACTCTAACAGCGTGCCCTTGTAGATTTTGAAAGGTGTGGGAGTCACATCCGAGGGCGACTAAAAAGATGCTGCAAAGGACGTCACATGCGCGGGATTCGCACCAGGACCCAACTGGTTCAATAAGAAAATGCTGAAGTACGGCCATCAACAGCTGGATCCACGTTGCGTGTCAGTGAAGATTTTGGGGCGGCCCCAGCTCATTTCCTATTAATAGTTGCTCGCAACGACTTATGCGCGCCGTGCCAAAATCCTCCTCAAAGTGACAAGCCCTACCGACCAGATGAGGACTGTACACAGCATTTCCTCCCATTAAAAACAACTCGTCCTGTGCGAATTCGCCGCATGTGAAGCGCGTTGGCAGTCCTTCAGCGCCCTTCTATGCAAATAGCGTTTCAATGTCCAACTCAAATCGACAAAACATCGTCGCATTAACTGAGTGCAAAACGGACACCGTTTTAACTTAAAAGGCAGCCGAATTCTACTGGTAGCCTGTTAGGGTATTCGAAGCGCACTGCCATGTTGTCAGACTACCGAAATGCCTATTTAACCTATCCCTATTCCCTGTGCTCCATGGATGGTGGCACATCTGATCGTTCAAAAGTGTTTCATTCCCAAGCGAGTGGTTCAATTCAGTATATGGTAATCAAATTTAAAAAATATGAATATGAAAACTAGTTCGCGAAAGTTGTCCGCTAGTCCCTAATTACTAATGTACATATTTATCGATTGAAAATGTTGTTTTTGTTATAAATAGGCCTGAATCAACCACAAAACACTTTCAAAGCAGCGGTCCCATTGACATTTAACTTAATTGTCAAAAATTGATTTAGAAAAAAAAACAACCAAGTGCAGGAATTAGCGAATAGTAATAGGTTCAACGAGTTATAAAATAAAGTTATTAAGGTTAGTTAGTCGGAAAGTAATTAAAAATTGAATGGCTAAAGATAATGGTACTCACATTTCCCTTGAGGTCGAGAATAAAGATGGCGGAGCAAGACATTCTGCCTCTGTGAACAGAAGTCTAGCTTTCCGCGCTGTGTCGAGTGGCGACCTGAATAACAAATAAATAATTCATTTTCAACTTCACTATTAAATGCAATGATTGGAGGTAGTGGAAATAAAAGTGGGCTAAAAATGAGGGCGAAATCGAATTAGCGAGACACCCCCGATAACAACCCCCCGACACGATCAAACCGGTCGATACCACACGCGAAAATCGATAAGGTGATATGTGACGAGGAGGCTTGAGCAAATACTGAAATGAAGGACACCTTGCGAATGGCAGGTATCGATCACCCGAGCATGAGCTCCCAGTTCTTTTACGTCTGGGAACATTCGCTATTCATTCAACGGCCAGAAAACGCGCTCCATTTAAAAGTTTTTATTCTTGTAATCACTAAAGTGTAATTAAAGGAATTGATGTAGATTTTATTCAAAAAAATGAAAAAGGGCAATAAAGTGGATAACGTAGTTGGAGGATGGCTACTTCTGTACCCTCTCCCAGAAAAGCCTTAGGCCTAATGCGGATACGACCAGAGAGAGAAGTAGTTTCAGGGCACATCATTGGTTGGGGATTTTCGTCGGTCTGTACGACCCCCCCCCTCCGGCGTACTGCCTTCTCATCGAAAAGACGAAGAGAGCCGCCAGGGCGTGCCGCCGAAGCGAAAAAAAGGAGGTGGGGGGGGAGAGGGGGGGGGGGTAAATAGCACGCTTGACCGGATGCTATTGAAACGCTGAGCATGCTGTCGAGCTGGTTGACCGCTGCCGCAATAGCTATAAAACATAGTGCTGACCCTGTCAGGTTCACTCAGATTAGGCAGTTGAAGACAAAGTCTGGGTACACCAGTGCAATGTGAGTGCCATCCACCTCTATTGCTTGAGGTTTGGCTCGACCTTTTTTGGTTGTTTTCTGCACTGATGCTGAGCAAACTGTGCGGTACAAATTTTTCCATACGATCAATCCTGTTCGGCCTTTGATTCGTGTAGCTGTGCAGATTGAACCGGGAGGAACAGCTTAAATTCGCCCTAGTAGCTTCACAAGCCTCACGTCCCTCAGCGCTGCATCAAGCGTGATTATCTAGACCTCAGAACTGTAGCCCCGCTTTGAAGCATTGGCGTCGCGGAAGATTACCCGATGATTAGGGCCTCTTTCTTATGCAGCTCCTTCATTTTGGCTTCAGCTGGCATGCTCGATCCAGGGTGGTAGAAGAAAACAGTTTGAGGGAGCGGTTCGGGAGTCAGTGCTGGTGGTATAATGACCAGCGAATGTGTTGCCATATAACTGCACATCGAGGGCAAGATTTTCGAAAGACTAAAGGATCAAGTATTTCAATTGAAAAAAATCAGATTTTCTTCGTCTAAACTCGCTTTGTTGAATTACGTAAGTCCTAGTCACCCATCACACTGCCATCGGAGGTGGGGGGCAGGGTGGGGTAAATACACAGGTGAAAACAGGAAAAAGCTGCGAGACAGTAATACCGCGCCCTCCCCCTTTACCAGTTCACTGCGATTTTCCGCCCACTTCCTGCCCACCTTTTTTTTCAACGAAATGTTCCCAGACTTCCGCCTACTATTTCTCCAAAATTTTGCTTGTCGAAGCGAGCCGGGAGGGGGAGCATATAGTAGGCATGAAACAGGAAAATCACGAAAAGTCAACCACCATTCCCACCACTCCTAGAAAGGCCAGAAAAATTAAATACGACCCCCTCCCAACAATGAGCAAGTACGACCCTCCCCTTTACAACGTCCATGAAGCGAGAAAAATCAACTATCAAAATAAATTTTTCTCAGCCCAAATACGACCCCCTCTCCTGGCGGCCAAATACGACCCCCTGGGATTCCCCAACAACGATGTGCGCTGCCAGACCGTTTCTTCTCTTTTTTTTTCTTTCAGCAGGTGACATACCGCATCATATCCTTCGTATCAGTTCATTTTCTGCCAATTACTGTCACTTGCTCGCTTCAACAATCGGTGGAGAACGAGTTGGCGCTGCGCCAAACCCAGCCCGGCTGCCATTTCTTCTGTTTGAAATGTGAATAATGTCCAATGTAAAGATTGGGTCCACGCGACTCTCCTTCTAGACGGTTACTTCCTGTAGCGCAGCGAGAGAAAACACAAAGGCTGCTACACTACCGAAAGATTTGTAACGCACGGTGACGGCATGGGCTTCTGAAAAGGGGCAGGGGTTGGGAATTTCCAGCCACTTATCACACGTGGAAAATTGAGAAGTGCATGCTCGAAGTCATCACTTGACGCTGTCAGAGGAAAGAAGGAAGATTGCTGGTGCGGCTCAGAGGCGGGAGACGGACAAGAGGATCGTAAATTGCCGCTTCGTCGCGCGCGGCGATGGGCGCAACTTCAAGTCACACTTCCCTCGATTGGGGCATTGGATTTCATATAAGCAAGGACATGGTAGACACTTATGTCTATTTTTGGTCATACATTGTCTATTCTCGACCAAGTACCACCTAAAATCGTCGTCATTAGCGGGCGCGACGTCGCACGCGACGCCCACTGGCGCGGCGAAATACGAGG